GTGAGTTGACCGGCGTCCTCTCGAAGTTTTATTCATCTTAAAATCCTGTGGTCATTTCCGTGAAACCGTTTTCAGCAGATGCCTTCTTCAAACGTAATGGTAGACCATCTAAATGCTGTCAATCAACAACGGCTTATGAATATTGCTGTGGCTCGTATCCGGCATCATACATTAGCACCACACTTCGGATCTTGCGCAGCAGCATCCAACAGCATAAAGGCCAATTACCCGACGGGTAAGTTCCACATTAAACCCGACTCCTCCGTCGTGTATGCTACACTACACCTGCATAGTGTTCTTTGTCTGCTTGAAGATGTAGCTGTTCTACTGTGATCTGCGTCGCTAGTTGATCGTGCATATACGTGGGTATATAGGTATATATCATCAAACTGTGACAGTTCAGGGATAGCGATATGTATATCTGTAGCGAATGCGACGAATAACGATATTTCATCAACTAGCTACGATTATATATATATATATATATATATATATATATATATATATATATATATATGTGTGTGTGTGTGTGTGTGTGTGTGTGTGTGTGTGTGTCTGTGTGTGTCTGTGCACGTGCGTGTGTGTGTGCGTGCGTGCTGGCGTGCTCGCCTGCTTGCATGGATTCACCACAGGGTACTAGACAAGCACCTAATATGGCTGGTGAATGCTGACATGTCTGGGTTATCCCCTGCATGCCGTGATCCTCAGCTGCGCCTGCTGCTCGCAGACGGCATCCAACGATGGGATGCACTGACGGGCATTCCCGCTTCCAATGACATTTGCCCTGATTTCGCTGGCTCGGAATGCATGTGACCGTTTTTGCCCTGGTTGCATGCAAATGACGGAAACAATTACCATAAAGCGCTATGTGCATCCCGCAGAACGGTGGAGCTTCGGGCGCCGATACGGATACAGGATCCAATGGACAGGATCACAATACAGGATCCAATGGCCAGGCGGAACCCGCACTATCCGCACCGATGGCGTCCATTGTAGCACTGCTGCTGATTATACGATGGGTATCCATTGTGTCGTGACCCTACTCCAGTTCATTCGAAGCATTTAAACTATGGAGCTTTGAGGCTTGACCTCATACTTTGTACCAGGGGCGTGAAAACACAAAACAGGTTGGGGTGGAGGGGGGGGGGGGAGGCTGTACAGAGGAAAGTGATCCAACCTACTCCCAACATATTCCAACAAACAGATTTGTCCCCAGAATTGGTCCACTCTATCCCCAAAGGGGGAGGGGGTCTGGAGCCCCACTTAGGGGGGGGGGGGAGGGGAGGGGGCTGAAGCCCCAGCAACTAAGCAGGAAACCTCCCCCCTGCTTTGTGCCGTCATGGTACAATACCTGGAGAGTGTTATAAACCCGCAAGCACACAGGCGTATGCTAACAGATATAAAGGCACTGTTCAAAAAAGCATTTGTCGGGTATGCCAAACCGAGTGATGGAAGGACCCATTTCGTAAACAACGTCGTATTATATGTGGGATAATTGTAATCTGAAGCATATCACAGATCGCCCACATGACTGCGTGCTTCAATCAATGACGGGCCTTGCGTGATGGGTAGCACGTACTAAAAGAGCGCTGCAGTATTCAAGTTTGCTTCAGTGAATCACATTTCAACGGCGTTTGCCGCCACGTTTGTGCTCGTCACGACGCACCGGCAATCACAATGCCAGTAGCGTGACCATCCCCCGGCAGCCCATCCCCATGACGTCACGCGCTCGCCGCGCCGGTCGTTGCCGCGTAATCTGTTGACTGGAGGTGATCCGGCCATCACCGGTGGGCCGGTCCCCGCTGCCGCTCGGCACGGAGGGTGCACCTGGTCAGGGGGGGGGGGGGGTCCGGTGGCTCCAGACCGGCCGGCTCCCGGGGACGACGACAGCTCCAGACCGGCCGGCTCCCGGGGACGACGACAGCTCCAGACCGGCCGGCTCCCGGGGACGACGACAGCTCCAGACCGGCCGGCTCCCGGGGACGACGACAGCTCCAGACCGGCCGGCTCCCGGGGACGACGACAGCTCCAGACCGGCCGGCTCCCGGGGACGACAGCAGCTCCAGACCGGCCGACTCCCGCGGGCGACGGCAGCTCAAGACCGGCCGGCTCCCGGGGACGACGGCAGCTCCAGACCGGCCGGCTCCCGGGGACGACGACAGCTCCAGACCGGCCGGCTCCCGGGGACGACGACAGCTCCAGACCGGCCGGCTCCCAGGGACGACGACAGCTCCAGACCGGCCGGCTCCCGGGGACGACGACAGCTCCAGACCGGCCGGCTCCCGGGGACGACGGCAGCTCCAGACCGGCCGGCTCCCGGGGACGACAGCAGCTCCAGACCGGCCGACTCCCGGGGACGACGGCAGCTCCAGACCGGCCGGCTCCCGGGGACGACAGCAGCTCCAGACCGGCCGGCTCCCGGGGACGACGTCAGCTCCAGACCGGCCGGCTCCCGGGGACGACGGCAGCTCCAGACCGGCCGGCTCCCGGGGACGACAGCAGCTCCAGACCGGCCGGCTCCCGGGGACGACGTCAGCTCCAGACCGGCCGGCTCCCGGGGACGACAGCAGCTCCAGACCGGCCGACTCCCGCGGGCGACGGCAGCTCAAGACCGGCCGGCTCCCGGGGACGACGGCAGCTCCAGACCGGCCGGCTCCCGGGGACGACGACAGCTCCAGACCGGCCGACTCCCGCGGGCGACGGCAGCTCAAGACCGGCCGGTTCCCGGGGACGACGACAGCTCCAGACCAGCCGGCTCCCGGGGACGACGGCAGCTCCAGACCGGCCGACTCCCGCGGGCGACGGCAGCTCAAGACCGGCCGGCTCCCGGGGACGACGGCAGCTCCAGACCGACCGGCTCCCGGGGGCGACGGCAGCTCCAGACCGGCCGGCTCCCGGGGACGACGGCGGCTCCAGACTGGCCGGCTCCCGCGGGCGACGGCGGCACGAACCTGCAAGGTTTATCGGCAGCTGGGCCAGGGGCAAGGAGAGGGGGGGGGGGGGGGGGGGCGGGCGAGGGCGCCCGAGACGCGGGGCGACCGGACAAGGGCAAGCTGGAGAGTGGAGAGGCCAGGATGAGATGAGCTGTCCTCCGCACTGTCTGGTAAGCTGCCGTCCGACGGGGCTGCTGACGGCCGCCTGAAGCCACGGCAAGGCGTCATCACCGGAGTCATCGCACAGAGAACCACAGTCAGCAGCACCGCCGCGTGGGCCGTTACGGACTCTGGCCGTGGTGGCGCCACGCCGGAGAGCTTCGGCCTCTGTTGATCCGCCACCAGCTCTATTTACGTCGGTCATGACGACCCAGCGTTCTCAGTGCAGTGCCCTCTCCCCCCAACCACACCCTCCCCCCTGCCACGCCTCCCAAACCTGCATCCTCGCAACCTAACAGACGTGGATCGGCGCAACGGGTAGGGCCGGCGCGGCGGGCTGCCTTTTTGCGCGCTCAGTCCATTGAAGGGGTGGGGCAGGAGCAAGCGGCACCGTTTATGCTCACCACATGGTGACACGGCGCCGACTACCAGGAATGCGGTCTGGCGAACTGAGCGGAAAGGCATTCCTGCTCGGCTCTGCCGTTTGCGAGTAGAGCCGAGCCTCTGGAATGCAAACTCGTAAAAGTCAGCCAGGACCAGCTTTTCACCCGTTTGTAGCTAGAGGTGAAAAACTATACACACTCCAGTACGGAAAATGAGTATTTCTGTTATCTTATATTTCCAAGCAGGAAATACCTGAGCGGGCAGGTCACACGAACAGCACAACCCTAGACCATGTACACATCACGGGTGTCGATATGTATTCTTTTGTGAGGGCCCTGCCCCCCCCA